CCCTTCAGGGATGGTGGCCCGACCAGAACGCTGAACTTGTGGCTTTGATACAAGCTCTACAGATGGCAGAGGAAACGTCTATACTAACAGCAGGTATGCTTTTGCCCTCACCTATATATATATATATATATAAAGCAATATACAGACAAAAAGGACTGTTGACATCTGCGGAAATTTTGAGCCTCCAGGAGGCCACGCATTTGCCAAAGAAGATAGCCATCATACATTGACCAAGATTGAGACACCCAATGTAATGGCTAAGAAGATCAAAAAAAAAAAAAATCATCCTAAGGTTTGGGATGGCCAAGATAATCATGTCCCATAATAGGCCTGCCTTTGTTGCCCAGGCAAGTTAGGGTGTGGCCAAGACATTGGGGATCAATTGGAACTTAAGCTTACCAACCTCAAAGCTCAGGTCAGATAGATAGGATAAGTAAGATTCTAAAAAAACAAATTGATATAATTGGCCCTGGAGACCAGCAAAAATGACTGGACAGACCTCCCTCCCTCCTGTCCTGTTCTGGGTTCAAAACACCCCGGCATCGTTGCCACTAGCTCTGTTGCCTGGCTAGTTAGCTGCTGCTCATGTATCTGCTGACAATGGTTGACCTTGATGATGGAATCCTGAGCTCAAGGCTTGCACAGGGCAGGCACATCTGCTGTAAGATGGGCTTACATCACCTTTAAGGCTCTTCTTTCCTAAAGTCAGAAACCCACAGGGCTCTGCTCATTTTTAATGTCTTTTGAAGCATAATATCAGACAGCAGAAGCAAAAGACAATTCTGTTCTGTTCCTCCTTTGTGTGTCTGGGACCTATTGACAGGAATTATTTAGTACAGTTTGAGACTTTTCCAGATCAGACCGTTTTGTGCAGATAACTGCAGAGAGAAGCAAACACACCTAAAGCCTCCTTACCTCTTGACAGGTTTTGTTTTTCTACAGGAAAATCTTGTTTTAATCTATGGGGTTATAAAATGATATGACTTTCAAAAGGTAAACAGATGTAATTTAATATATAATAAAATAGATATCAATGGGATGTTAAAACTTTTTGATGCTGTACTTACAAATGTGAAGCCTGGGTAAGGTCAGTCTCAAAAAGATATTTATGTCCTCATTGGCTGTCCTCTGGCTTTAGGGCTTTCTGTTTTGTTTTAAACATTTGTCATCCTGTATTGCATTTTCTCTCATTGTTTGTTAAAGTTCTCACAATGGACACAACCCTGTACATTTGGATAAAGCTGATGCTACGGGATGCAATGGAAACTCGTAAATGCCATGTGGTGCCAGCTGGACCGAAACTGACTTCTCCGGCACATTCTCTGGAGCTGAGGAACAACACTCCCGGTGTCTACAGCAAAAGAGATTTGTCTTCATAATACTAAACTTGCCTCTTGGGAGAAGGCATCCATGTGTTTCTTAGGGCTGAGTTAAGCTCTTTGTAGTCAATAGACTATTATTGCCACAATGTTGGGTGCTATTCTCGGGTCTACAGTGGTTCACAATGTCTACCATGTAGTTACTTTCAAGCCTCATTCAGATAGTTTTTGCTAAGAGCTATTCTGCAAACCCTAGAGATGTTCTACTATCTTCTCAACAAGGATATTTTAAAGGATGGTTTAATAAATCACCATGGTTAAAAGCCTTAATTTCCATTATAGCTGGGCCCCTACTTATTTTACTTCTTATCTTTACAATCGGCCCTTACATTTTAAATCGCCTGGTGCAATTTATAAAAGACAGACTTTCAGTTATCCAAACCATGGTACTCTCCCAGCAATATCAGATATTAAAGCAGAATGACGTAGAGGTCTTTAAACACATGAATTTATGATTAAATCCATGATAAAAAAAAGGGGGGGAATGAAAGACCCCCACTCACTAAGCAGCAGTAATGCCATTTTGCAAGGCTTAAACTTTGGAGCAACGCAAGTAATTAGAGCAGGGAAGTTCGACTTGAAAGCAAGGGCGGAGAAGCCAGGCGAGATATCTGCGGTCAGCCGGTCAGCCACCTGGCCCCAAGCGATAAGGAACCCGCAGCTGGCCTGCACTAATGAGAACATCCCGTTTGCTTAGGGAAACGGGATGCCTATAGTCAGCACATGTGCCCAACTTAGAATGTCAGTAATTCACAGAAGAAGACAACTCCCCCTATGAAAGATCCCAGCTTATCTGCTGTAACGTCATTTCACAAAGCTTTTGACGAACGACTGTAAGTGCAGAGTAAGGTCAGGGTCCCTGGCTGCAAAACAGGATCTTTATATCCATAGATTAGGACAGGACATCAATTAACAGGATGTCTGTTCCCATACATCTGTGCTGGGAGAGGAAAAACCACCTGTGCCCCTTGCCCCATTCCAACTGACCACTAACGATGCATTTGCTTCTGTAATCTGCTTCTGCTGCCCTCTTTCCTATAAAAAGACCTTCCCCCAGTCTGCAGGCGCGCGCTTGTCCTCCGAGAGACTAAGCCGCCCCAGGTACCTGTGTATTTGAAAGACCCCCGTGGTAGGCAGTCTTTCAGACCGGGGAGACCCTCCCAAGGAACAGCAAACAGCAAGAGGCTTTTATTGAGTACACAGGTACCTGGGGCGGCTTAGTCTTTCGGGAGACAAGCGCGCCTGCAGACTGGGGGAAGGTCTTTTTATAGGAAAGAGGGCAGCAGAAGCAGATTACAGAAGCAAATGCATCGTTAGTGGTCAGTTGGAATGGGGCAAGGGGCACAGGGGGTTTTTCCTTTCCCAGCACAGATGTATGGGAACAGACATCCTGTTAATTGATGTCCTGTCCTAATCTATGGATATAAAGATCCTGTTTTGCAGCAACCCCTTTCCCAGCACAGATGTATGGGAACAGACATCCTGTTAATTGATGTCCTGTCCTAATCTATGGATATATAGATCCTGTTTTGCAGCCAGGGACCCTGACCTTACTCTGCACTTACAGTCGTACGTCAAAAGCTTTGTGAAGTGACGTTACAGCAGATAAGCTGGGATCTTTCATAGGGGGAGTTGTCTCTTCTGTGAATTACTGATATTCTAAATTGGGCACGTATACTGACTATAGGCATCCTGTTTCCCTAAGCAACCGGGATGTTCTCATTAGAGCAGGCCAGCTGCGGGTTCCTTATCGCTTGAGGCCAGATGGCTGACCGGCTGACTGCGGATATCTTGCCTGGCTTCTCCGCCCTCATTTTCAAGTCGAACTTCCCTGCTCTAATTACTTGCGTTGCTGCAAAGTTTAAGCCTTGCAAAATGGCGTTACTGCTGCTTAGTGAGTGGGGGTCTTTCATTCCCCCCCCTTTTTTTTTTTCCTGAATAAAATCCTTTATTTACTCAGCTGCGGTATCCCTATTCTCGGGATCAAATTGTCTAAGTTGGTGGTACTGTTGTGTCAGGACCAAAGCCTGGATGACAGACAGCCTGTCCTTCATAAATTGTACTAGCCGGTTGAGAATGCATGGTCCGAAAAGCAGAATCAATAGTAGTATGATTAGGGGTCCCATAATGGAGGAAATCAGGGTGGTGAACCAGGGCGATCTGTTGAACAGTCCCTCAAACCAGCCTTGGTCAGATTCAAAGAGCTGCTGTCTCTGCTTAAGTCTTTCCCTCAGCTTTGCCATGTTGTCTCTGACTAATCCTGTGTGGTCTGCATAAAAGCAGCATTCTTCCTTTAGGGCTGCACAAAGTCCTCCTTCCTGCAGGAACAGTACGTCTAGTCCCCGCCTGTTTTGTAGGACTACCTCAGACAGTGAGGTTAAGGACTTTTCCAATGCACTGACCGATTCCTCCAAGGCTTTTATGTCAGTGTGCATGGCTGCCTGTAGTTGCCTAAACTGCTGGCTGGCGGCAAGGGCTGTTGCTCCGGTCCCTATCCCTGCCGTGATGCCTCCAACAGTCAATCCCCCAAGCAGGAGGGCTAGGGTGAGGGACACTGGCTCTCTCCTGAATCTAGGTCTTCCTTCAAACTGAGCATACACATATTCTGGTTCATGGTAAGTTATTTTTGGCCATAACTCAATTAACACACAATAATCAGAGGATATGTTTAAGACTGAGGAAGACACACAGGGGGTCAGTCCCGTGCTACAGGCCCAGTAAGTGCCATTGGGAGGTGTTAGGTAATAAGTGCCCTGGGGCAGGGCTAGTGTGGTGTTGCAGAGAAGTGAATGTGAGGGTGGGACTTTTCCTATACAAAGGCCCTCTCCTGACACCTCCGATAGCGTCAGCTTGTGCCGTGGTATATTGGAGCATTGGGCTGGTGGGGAGGTCTGATTGGTAAAATTCCCCATGAGTGCCAACCCTTCATAATAGGGGGGCCTAGGTAGTAGGCAGAGCCAGCATTCTTGAGTCCGGTTAGGGTTGGTCAGGTTTAAGGCTTGATATGCCCCCTGTATAAGGCCGACCAACCTGTCCCCAGTTCCGGATACCGCCGGAGCGGGCACTGACGGGAACGAGCCCTCCGCTGAAGAAGTTGAGGAGAGTGCCGGGGTGGCGTTTCCTGAAGGGGGTTGGGCTGGCGCTGGGGGAGGTTTGGGAGGGGATGGAGCCTGTTGGTCGCCCAGGACTGTGTTGGGGCCCAGGGACGAGGATGGAGAATCCGGGGTGAAGCCATAAGTGAGAGTGATTATAGCTCCATGGTCTGGACCGGTGGGGTCGTATCTCCGGATCCCCCATGATCCTGTTAGGGCAGGGGCCTGGTCCTTACATTTTGAAAAGGTCAGGCGAATGTTTGGGCCGGAGGGGTAAGGGGTCTTATCCCAGTATTCTATGTGTAGGGGATCATTTCCCTGGGGGGTTCCCCAAGAGCTAGCCAGGGATCCCCAGGAGGAGGTTTCGCAGCCCCAAGCGTTACAATAATATTGGTTGGCCGTGCTATGTGAGCATCGTTTATGGCTCCGGGTCCCCGGACAGGCATACCAATCAGCATTGTTACCGGGAACTTGCCCTCCCACTGCCTGGAACAAGGTGACTAGATTGGCTTTCATTTCGGGTGGGCATCCTAGATTCTTGGGTCCCTTCATGGTTGTAACATTGAGAATCACATCTGTACCGGCTACTATGAGGGTCCAGGTGCTCTTTCCCACAATGTGGGGCGAGACTGAGTGTTCTCCCAGGGCGCGGGGGGAGGTTATGAGCATCATCAAGACTAGGTACGGGAGAGTCTTATCTTTAGAGGGTTTTGTGTGCGGTGGATCCTCCATGATGCCCCGGTTGTGGTTTCGTCAGGAGGGCTGGCTGCTTTGACGTGCGACGCGTGGACCCAGGCTGCGATGCCGTCAACTTTCAGCGCGGTCGGGGTGGTCAGTAGCACGGTATAGGGTCCCTTCCAGCGGGGTTCCAGATTCTTAACCTGATGCCTGCGGACCCACACGGTGTCGCCAATCTGGTAGTTATGAGGCACCACTGGTCTGTCCAATTGCTCCTGGTAGGCTGCAGCAAGTGGTTTCCAGACCTCACGTTGCACGATTTGGAGTGCCTGCAAATGAGCTTGCAGAGAAGGACTATTAGCAAAGTCTGAAATATTGGAATCAAAGAAATTAATGAAGGGCGGGGGCGCCCCGTATAGTATTTCAAAGGGAGTAAGTCCATGGGGTCCTGGAGTGTTTCTGGCCCTGTATAGAGCCAAGGGTAGTAGGAGTACCCAGTCTCTAGAGCCAGTTGCAAGCGTTAATTTGGTCAAAGTCTCCTTAATAGTTCTGTTCATTCTTTCTACCTGTCCTGAGCTCTGGGGTCTGTATGCACAATGTAATTTCCAATCAATCCCCAATAGCTTGGCCACCAACTGACTTACCTGGGAGACGAAGGCGGGCCCATTATCAGTGCCCAACATTTGGGGCATGCCATACCTGGGGAAGATTTCTTCCAGTAGCTTTTTGGTCACAATCTTTGCGGTCTCATGCTTGGTCGGGAAGGCTTCCACCCATCCCGAAAAGGTGTCCACAAATACCAATAAGTACCGGTATCCATACATGCCTGGTTTTACTTCGGTAAAGTCAATTTCCCATTGTACTCCTGGTCGATGACCGCGAATTCGCACCCCCTGTCCCACCTTGGCTTTTCCTGCATTCACCTGTGTACATGCTCTACATTTGTCCACAACCTTTTGGAGGATGCTGTCTCGCCCCAGTAAATAGCAAAAAGTCTCCTGCCGATCTAACAATGTTTTCATCTTTCGGGGGCTTAGATGGGTCAGTTTATGTAAGTAATCAAGCATCTTATAAGTGTATGCCATCGGCATCACTGTTTTTCCCTTCCATGTCCATTTGCCCGTTCTCTGGTCCTGCTCCGCTCCCATGTCTGCCAGGAGCTTCAGATCCTCCTCATCATATTCGAGGGGGTCTCTCCTATCCTGGTGCATGGGCAGTATGGCTAGCGGAGCCTGCAGGGCCACCTGTTTAGCGGCTTCATCAGCCAGCCGGTTTCCTCGAGCCTCAGGGCTGTCTCCTTTCTGGTGTCCTGGGCAATGTATAATGCTCAGTTTTCGAGGCAGAAATAAAGCTTTTAACAAGGCTAAGATCTCTGTTTTATTTTTAATTTCCTTTCCTTCTGAAGTCAGTAGCCCTCTTCTTCGGTATATTTCCCCATGAACATGAGCAGTGGCAAAAGCATATCGGCTGTCAGTGTAGACATTGAGCTTCTTACCTTCTGCCATCCTCAAAGCTTGTGTCAAGGCGACAAGCTCTGCTCGCTGCGCAGAAGTCCCTGCAGGCAGAGACTGTGCCCAGATCACTTCGGTCTCCGTGGTTACCGCTGCACCCGCCTTTCGCTCACCTTCCCGCAGAAAGCTGCTGCCATCAGTGTACCAGGTGACATCCGCATCCCGGAGGGGTTGATCCGTCAGGTCCGGTCTGGTCCCGTGCATTTCCGCCAGGATCTCGAGACAGTCGTGTTGTTCCATCTCCCCCTCCTCTGGGAGTGGTAGCAGGGTTGCAGGATTGAGCGCCACCACTGGTCCGAAATGGATTCGGTCCGAGTCCAGGAGCATGGCCTGATAATGGGTCATGCGGGCATTGGAGAGCCAGCGATCTGGGGGTTGTCTGATTAGAGTCTCAATTGCGTGTGGGGCCAGGATGGTCAAAGGTTGGCCCATAGTCAGTTTGCCAGCGTCCTTGGTGAGGACTGCCACTGCTGCTACCATTCTGAGGCATGGGGGCCATCCTGTGGCCACGGGGTCCAACTTCTTGGATAGGTAGGCTATTGGCCGCCGCCAGGGCCCCAACCTCTGGGTCAAGACCCCTTTTGCATATCCTTGCTTCTCGTCAACAAACAAATCAAAAGGCTTAGTCAGGTCAGGGAGGCCTAAGGCTGGGGCTGTGAGCAGAGCCCGTTTGATTTTCTGGAAAGCCTCATCCTGATCCGATCCCCATGAGTACATCACCCCCTGCTTAGTCAGTGGGTACAGAGGGGCTGCCAGTTCCGCGAATCCGGGGATCCAGAGCCGGCAGAATCCCGCTGTCCCTAGAAACTCTCTCAGCTGGCGGGGTGTCCGGGGTGTAGGGATTTTCATAACTGTGTCTTTCCTGGCCTCCGTTAGCCACCTCTGTCCTTCTTTGATTTGGTACCCTAGGTAGGTGACCTGCCGTTGGCATATTTGGGCCTTCTTGGCAGAAGCTCGGTACCCTAGGTTCCCCAAAGCTTGTAGTAATGCTTCGGTTCCTTTTTTACAGTCCTGAGCCGAGGTAGCAGCTAGCAAGAGGTCATCAACGTATTGCAACAGCATCAGGCCAGGATGCCTCACCCTGAAATCCGCTAAGTCTCGGTGTAGGGCCTCATCGAACAGGGTGGGGCTATTTTTGAAACCCTGAGGCAACCTGGTCCAGGTCAGCTGTCCCGAAATCCCCAATTTAGGATCCTTCCATTCAAAAGCAAATATAGGCTGACTTTTGGGGTGCAGTCTCAGACAGAAGAATGCATCCTTGAGGTCCAGGACGGTATACCAAGTATATGAGGGTGACAGTCCACTTAACAGATTGTAGGGGTTAGGAACTGTCGGGTGTATGTCTTCCACCCGTTTATTGACCTCTCTTAGATCCTGTACAGGTCTATAGTCCCCAGTTCCTGGCTTTTTCACGGGCAGCAAGGGGGTATTCCAAGGGGACCGGCAGGGGACTAATATTCCCTGATCAAGAAGCCTTTTGATGTGAGGCCTTATTCCTTCCCTTGCCTCGTGAGACATGGGGTACTGTTTAATCGAGACAGGAGTAGCAGTTGTCTTGAGGCTTACCATTAGAGGGGGCTGCTGTCTGGCCAGCCCCATTCCCCCGGTTTCTGCCCATGCCTGGGGAAAGCGGTCCAGCCAATAAGCCTCAGTGGGGGCCGCAGTGGTACTATCTTTTTCATGCAGCCTATATTCATCTTCTAGGCTGAGAGTCAGCACATGTAAGGGTTGTCCCTGAGGGCCAACTACCTGTGCTCCGGTTTCCTTGAAGAAAATTTGAGCTTTTAATTTTGTGAGCAAGTCCCTTCCTAGGAGCGGATATGGACAGTCGGGCACGTGGAGGAAAGAATGAGTCACCTTACCGGTTGCTAGGTGAACCTTGCGATCCGTGGTCCATCGGTATCGTTTTCCACCAGTGGCCCCTTGGACCCAGGCAGACTTGTCACTCAGGGGTCTGGGGTCCCTGGTTAGCACCGAGTGTTGAGCTCCTGTGTCGACCAGGAAGGTGACGGGTTGCCCCCCAACATCTAAGGTTATCCTGGGCTCAGGGGGGGGGCTCCTTGCCCTGACCCCCCTAGTCGTCCAGGGTCAGGAGGGAGGTCCGGGGTGGCCCGAATCTCCTGGGCCCTCTCCGTTTCTTGGGGCAATCTCTTGCCCAATGTCCCTTTTCCTTGCAGTAGGCACATTGGTCCTTGTCAAGGGGTTGCCTTTCCCTGTCTCCTCCCTGTCTATCCTGCCTTTGCCCTGACACTACGGTGGCCAAAAGCTTAGTCATTTCTTTATGTCTCTTGTGATCCCTCTCTTTTTCCTTTTCCTCAGCTTCTTTTCTGAAGCGGTCCTCTCTCTCCTCTGCTTCTCTCCTGAGGCGGTCCTCTCTCTCCTCCTGCGTCTCCCTTTTATTGAAAATCTTTTCTGCCTCCTTTAACAGATCCCTGAGTGAACTTTCCCTGAGGTTTTCTAGGCGCTCCAGTTTGCGCCTGATATCTGGGGCTGACTGCCAAATGAAAGACATGGAGATATTGGTCTCCTGTCCGGGGTCGTCGGGGTCATAAGGAGTATACCTGCGGTAAGCCTCTTTAAGCCTCTCAAGGAACGCAGAGGGAGTTTCCTCTGACCCCTGTATAACCTGCTTTACCTGAGCCAAATTCGTTGGGCGTCGAGCCGCCCTGTGGAGACCCGCTATGAGCAACTGGCGATAGAGAACTAGGTGATTCCTACCTTCCACCGTGGTGAAATCCCAAGAGGGGCGTTCAAGGGGAAAGGCAGAATCTATTTCATTAGGCAATTGGGTGGAGCGGCCATCAGGTCCCCGGACTTCCTTCCGGGCTTCCAGGAGGACCCTCTGCCGTTCCTCCGAAGTCAGCAGGGTCTGCAACAGCTGCTGGCAGTCGTCCCATGTAGGCTGATGGGTGATCAAGATAGATTCAATCAATGCGGTCAGCCTAGAGGGGTCCTCAGAGAAAGGAGGGTTATTATTTTTCCAGTTATAAAGGTCCGAGGAGGAAAATGGCCAGTACTGCAATTGGCCGTTCATTCCCGTGCGGAGAGGGAATGCCTGTGAGGAGGTTGTATCTGCTGCATGCGGCTGGTCCCTCCGTCCCCTCAGGCGCGCGGCCATCGGCGAAGGATCAGGAGAGGCAGGCGTTTCTCTCTCAGTGGGGTCAGCCTCATTCGGAGACTGCGGGGCTGGCTCCTGGTACGGGGGAGGATCCTCCGTGAGGAGGTCCATTAGCAAGTCGTCCTCTGGAGGCAAAACTTTGGGGATAGGGGATCCTGAGGACTTGGTGAGGGCTGGGTAGAGGGAGGAGCGGGGCGGGGGTCCCGTAGGGGTGGGAAGGAGTGGAGGGGGTAGAGTGGGTGCAGAGAAAGTGAGGGTAGGGGGATTTGGGGCGATGAAGGGCTTGACCCAAGGCGGTGGGTCATAAACCATTGCTTCCCAAACCACAATATATGCGACCTGGTCTGGATGCCCGTGAGGGCCAGGATCCATCACCTTGGCCTTCACCTGTAAGATAACATTGATGTCAAAAGTTCCATCCCGAGGCCAGCCCACATTGAATGTGGGCCACTCCGAGGAGCAGAAAGTTACCCAACGTCTCTTCCGAATGTCCAGTGACTGGTTATTTGCAATGTCTTGGACATCTCGCCAGTGCTGCAAAGTGAGGCTTAAAGGGGTGGTTACAGATTGGCCCATTCTCTCAACCGCGGTGACAGTAACAATCAGACAAACACACAAAATACAACTTAGACCAACACAAAATCGCGCAGCGCGGCTTCGGCGTAAGACCGAAAGCAAAACTTCAGACGGAGACTCTGAGGATCCGGATTCCTCGTCTCCCAGAAGAATCACATACCCTTCGGACTGTGGGGGCGCCCCAAACAATCCTATTCGGTAAGGATTCACAGAGTTACCGATGGGCCAGGCACCACATCCAGCCCCAGATGCCCCTGAGACGTCTCCCAGGGCTGCGGTCGGGAGTGCGAGCCCGTCGGCTCCCCCCGCGTCCGCCCGATACAGACCTAGTCAGCCAACTAGTACAGAGTCAGTCGCAAGCGCAAACACAGAACACCGAAACACGGATACACTGAAACACTGATATTCAGGGGAAACAATCACTGGCCAGCTTACCTCCCGGTGGTGGGTCGGTGATCCCTGGACAAGAGTCTCCAGATCTCGGTGGAACCTCCAAATGAAAGACCCCCGTGGTAGGCAGTCTTTCAGACCGGGGAGACCCTCCCAAGGAACAGCGAGACCACTCTCCGGATGCAAACAGCAAGAGGCTTTTATTGAGTACACAGGTACCTGGGGCGGCTTAGTCTTTCGGGAGACAAGCGCGCCTGCAGACTGGGGGAAGGTCTTTTTATAGGAAAGAGGGCAGCAGAAGCAGATTACAGAAGCAAATGCATCGTTAGTGGTCAGTTGGAATGGGGCAAGGGGCACAGGGGGTTTTTCCTTTCCCAGCACAGATGTATGGGAACAGACATCCTGTTAATTGATGTCCTGTCCTAATCTATGGATATAAAGATCCTGTTTTGCAGCAACCCCTTTCCCAGCACAGATGTATGGGAACAGACATCCTGTTAATTGATGTCCTGTCCTAATCTATGGATATATAGATCCTGTTTTGCAGCCAGGGACCCTGACCTTACTCTGCACTTACAGTCGTACGTCAAAAGCTTTGTGAAGTGACGTTACAGCAGATAAGCTGGGATCTTTCATAGGGGGAGTTGTCTCTTCTGTGAATTACTGATATTCTAAATTGGGCACGTATACTGACTATAGGCATCCTGTTTCCCTAAGCAACCGGGATGTTCTCATTAGAGCAGGCCAGCTGCGGGTTCCTTATCGCTTGAGGCCAGATGGCTGACCGGCTGACCGCGGATATCTTGCCTGGCTTCTCCGCCCTCATTTTCAAGTCGAACTTCCCTGCTCTAATTACTTGCGTTGCTGCAAAGTTTAAGCCTTGCAAAATGGCGTTACTGCTGCTTAGTGAGTGGGGGTCTTTCATATTAAATAAAGCCTCTTGCTATTTGCATCCGAAGAGTGACTCGCTGTTCCTTGGGAGGGTCTCCTCAGCCTGAAAGACTGCCCAGCACTGGGGTCTTTCACACCAACCTTTGGTTTCTTGCATGCGAGTCAAGGGCACTACCCACAGAGCTACACCCCTAGCCCCTGTTTGAAGACGGTAAAACAGTAATGCTCTGCAATTAGGAATGGTTAAAACATTCTGGCATAGAAAATTCCACTGCCTTCAGTCAAAGTCTGACTTTGAAAATATCTAGTGACCTAGAAAAATATTTTTACAGCTATGTAACCTAATCACAGTGTTCAACTGCTTGCACAGAACAAGCACAGTTTTATTACCCACCTCACCTCCCCCTCAACTGCCATTTTTGGATGGGAAAATGTTTCTGCACAGGGAAAGATCTTTAGATACAATTACACTTTTGAGCATTCAGGCACTCCCCGCTAAGCAGACCCCCTATTCTTCAGTTTCCCTATTTCATAGGGTCTCTGGGTTTCCCAGAAGGTCCCCAGCCCCTGTGGAGTCGGTGAACCCAGCAGGCTTTGAGCCCAACCATCACAGCCCAGGCCTGGCTGGGGGCGGGGCGCTGAGACTGCGCAGCTCTTTGAAGATCCTCGGTAGTTCCTTCCCAGCTAGCGCAGGCGCAGGCTCTGACCTCTTAACAAAGAACAGGTTCTGCAGCCGCCCCTCCCCCGCCGGGGGAGGCAGAGGGACCACGTGACCCTTGGAAGCCTCTGCTAGCCAGCCCTCTGGGAGCCTGGCTGGGAACCGGGCAGGATAGTGGGCGGGGGAGGGGAGGGGGACTTGAGTGTGGTGGGGAGGAAGGGGCGGGGCTGCAGCTGGAATGCACACCGCTGGAGGAGGAAAAGCAGGAAAAAGGGAGGAGGAGGAAAGAAAAGGGGTGCAAAATGCGAAGGTGGGGGCTGGGCTGGGAAGGAGGGAGGGCCTGGGAAATGGAGGAGGAGGAGCAGGCTTGGAAAGTGAAAAGGAGGGGGGGGGATGGAAAATAGAGCCGGAAGGTGGGTAGATGGGAAGTGAAATGGAGGGGAATGGGAAGTGGAGGAAGGAAGGAAGGGGGAGGGAAGTGGCTGGGGGGTGGTGGTGGTGGTGGTGGTGGTGGTGGTGGCAGAGGGAGGTTGGGTCAGTGGAGGTGGGGGATGGGAGAAGGGGTGGGGCATGTCACTGCGGAGACTCATTAAGATGCAATTGACATTTTTTTTGTAAAGAACAGACTGTATAAATTTACAGTTTCCTTTTGAACCCAAGCAGACAATGTTCAAACACGTCAGATTTCTGTTTCGGAATGCAAATGAAAACACGCCCAGTTTCTGGAAGGCTTAATTAAGGACTTAAGAAAACAGATTTACAACACAGCTGTAGTAGGGCAGATCCTAGTCTCCTACCAGAATGGTTTTGAGTTTTCTTTTTTCTTTTTTTACTTGAAAAGAGAACATTGTTTGGCCTAGGTCTTCCTTGAATGTAACAGGAACTACTGCTTAAAAAACCTCAAAATGTCAATCACCATTTTGTGTATGTTGGGGGTGGTGAACAGGTATGGGTGGATGGGGGAGATGGCATCTCAGGACTCTTTCAAGGTTGATCACTCTGTCCCTTCACTATAAAGAAACAGCCCTCCCCAATGCACCCCAATTATAAGACAAACCAGAAAACAAAGCAAAAACCAAAACACCCCCCCCCGAACAATAATACGCCAACTAAGTAAAAAAACAACCCCCTCCCTCCTCTCCAAACTGGGCACAGCCACTTGCTCACTCCATGCCAGCTTTGGTGGGTATTTTCTGCTTGTTCCTTCTAGAGAGATATACAAGGCCTTTAAATGCCATTCTGTGCATACAACTTAAAAAATGGCCAGGTGCAAATTGGCAAGTGTACTTCACCATCTGTTACCAGTGCATGCAGCCAGACTGGCCAGTATCTCCATGGGCACTGTGTGTGTTGCTCTGCTAATGATAGAGTGCCTCAGTGGTAAAACAGGATTCCTCTGAGATTACAGATGACCTAGCAGTCGGTTAGCACAGAAAGGCCTGTCTTTAGAGACATCCCTGCTCCCAAGGTAGTCAGTTTTGCCTTGGGTGAACAATTTCAGGAAGGAGAGACTGCAGGCAGGAAAAGGCAGTGGGCTAAAGCTGTAACAATTTCCTTATTCCCAAGTCACTCACCCCAAAGATACAAAGCAGTTTTCCCTCTGGCAGACCCCTTCATTTCCCATGGGAGAGGGGCTGCCCCTTGCTGTGTGTGCTAATAAACACAGTGCTGTCTGTTGAAGGTCAGACTCTGCTTTCTTCCTGCATTCTGTTTTAGAAATCTTGCAACTAAAGCTGCTGGATGCCAGGCTCACCAACTGGCCTAGTTAAGCAGCAGTCAATTTTTTTTGTTTGTTTGTTTCACAGTCACAGAGGGTGGATCACGGCAGGGTGAATCATGCCTGTAATCCTAGCATTCAGAAGGAAGAGGCAGGAGGATCTCTGCCAGTTTGAGGACAGCCTGGGCTGCAGGTGTGAAACCCTGACTCAAAAAAACGTGACAGTTCTGGATGCTGGGTTCAAGATGTAAGTATCATCAGGAATCCTTTTGATGATGGCCCCTCCTCCTCTTGTAGATGCCAGCTTCTCCTCATGTTTCATGTTTATCCCACTGGTTGAGAATAAGGGCACTACCACAATTTAAAGCCAAATTTGAAGCAAGCTTTAATTATATACTAGCCCAGTGGGTGGGCTATGACCAGGTCCAGCTCTGGGATTCCAGAAAATGGCCCTGATTCAAGTTTTGCAGGGGCTTAATTATTTCCCATTAGATTTAATTAGGGGAAAGCATACATCCTGATGTACCTCAGCCTACATCCAATAAGGGGTAAGGGTACATCCTGGTGTATTTCCTGCCTGTGTACCTCCCGCTCTCATGTGAGAGTTTTTGAGTTTTTTGTTTGGGGTTTTGTTTGTTTGGTTTTTTTTTTTTTTGTGATGTGGGATTTCCCCTCTGTATGCTGTGAATATTATCATTGTTTTATTACCACTGATTAATAAAGAAGCTGCTTTGGCCTATGGTAGGGCAGAATAGAGTTAGGCTGGGAAAACTTAGCTGAATGTAGGGAGAAAGAAGGCAGAGTCGGGGAGTCAGGGAGACGCCATGTAGCTGATGAAGGAGAAAGGCACCGGAACCTTACTGGTAGGCCACAGTCTCATGGTGATATATATAGATTAATAGAAATGGGTTAATTTAAGATGTAAGAACTAGCTAGGAATACACCTAAGCTATTAGCCAGTGTTCTAATTAATATAGTTTTTATGTGTTTAATCAGGTCTGGGCGACTGGGAAACCAATGTGTAGTCTCCTTTTACATTTTGGTGGTTGGGAAGGAGGATTCGAGACTGGATTCCTGACTGTCCTGGAACTCGATTTGTAGACTAGACTGTCCTAGAAACTTATGGAAAGCTGGCTGCTCCTGTCTCCAGAGTGCTAATGGCATGGGCTACCATGGCCAGCTTCATGTGGGCTTTTGAGATAATCTTGTGTAGCTCAGGCTGACTGTGGTTGAGGATGATCTTGAACTCCTGCCCCTTCTTTTACTTTCCAAGCCTAGTAATCCACTCAAGACACTGATTAAACCAGTTAAAAGTATATGAGTCTTTTATTGGCTGGAGATGAA